CCCCTGGGTCGCAGAACAAAGGACCCCCTATGATCTTCTGCATAATCACATGAGCCCAGGTGTGGAACCTATTCAGCCATAGTTACGGGTGAGCTCATTGTGAAACCTGGCCCCACCCTATCATGTGATTTCCTGAGGTCAGATGGGCCAAGATGTGAGTGGGCGTTAAGTCATCTGGGAAGGCATCTCAAAACTGGATTATAGATGGCAGACAGTTGGTGTCGTAAACCACCGCCTCTTTTCAAAGATGGTTGCTTACAGTAGATGCACTGCAAATTATTTGCAGCTTAACAAGATTTGTTGTCTTTAATCTAGCCAAATTATCTTCTCCATCTTGTTTTAAACATTACAAGCTAGTTTCCAGTCTAATGCGTTAGAAGATCAGTCTTGTTTTAAGTTAATTTTGTTTTTTATTCTTATGTAGTCTGTAAATCTGAAATTTAACCATTTTACATTAATTTCAAGCAAAAAAAAATTCAGCTATCGTTTCAAATAAAAATCTTTCTCAAAATAAGAACCACTCACTTGATTTTCTTTAAATAAGAAAAACACAGTCCCATCAACATATTTATTATAGGTTTAAAGCAATGACATCTTCCAGGTTATATTTTGTCATAACATAGACACAGTTTTTGAAATTGACTGTGTAATATGAGGTATAATCAAGTAGGTTTTCAACATCAGTCAGTTCGGTTGCTTGGGCAAGGTTAGGTATCGCAACTTCATAGGCAAGAAACTCTTTGTTAAAACCCAATGTTTCATACACCTGGTATTCAAAGCAATATAGCACACTATTAACAACAAAAATGTTTTTTATAAGTCCAAAGGTAGGGATTAAACCATTTGCTGAAATAAGAATCATGGATCTGTCACAGATGTATTTGCTACCATGTGAAATAAGCCACTTTACTCTAACAGCATGATGTACAGCATCTTCAATGCCCAAAAAATCTACAACCTTTGATTGTAAATGATTAATATTAGATACATCTGATACAGGACCTAGCTCTTTTTCATGTAAAAAAATTGGATGCTCAATTCCTGTTTCACTTTGACAACACTCCAGCAGCTGATTGTGGTTTACAAGAGACTTGCACACATTCTTAAAATTTAATTTGGATGACCATTGTTTAAAAAAACTATGTTTAGACTCGAATCTCATGCACATATGCCGTATTACAGGTCCCAGAGCAATAATCTGAGAGGGAAGATGTAGCATGTAATGTTGCTTTGGGATTACATTGTTTTCAGGAAATAGTTGTCTGAATTGTTTAAGATGATTCTCTATCATCTGTTTTAGTTTGGACACAGTTTGTACAGACAAAACTGGGGCAAAAAGTATTTTAACAATTTCAATTAAATCCAAAATAAACTGGATATATGGATTTTTCTCCACAACACAGTCCAATAAGAATGGCAAAATCTTGATCAATATAAGCATCTGTCCAGAGGATTGTTTAAGTCTGTTGTCACTTGAAGCTAAAGTAGCTATACTAATTGGTGAAGGCTTGTCACGTATGTCTGTTGATGAAAAAGGAAAAGTCTGCATGGCAGAATTAAAAATGTCCAACTCTAAATTTCCAGATAAAACAAGATATTTCAACACACACTTAATTTCCATTGGTGCCACTCCTTCAAGAATTATATGCATAATATCCTGTGGCATTTGCTCTATGAGATTAAAACCTGGGAAATCAACTAACTTGCTTTGTCTATTTATGCCAAAAGTCGTTTTAAGCGAGGATTTTAAGAATTCAGTAGTTGCCCTATCAATTTCTTTGCATTGTCTTATGTGTCCGTCCAATGTCCGTCTGGTGAAACTCTGTTCATTGAAATTTGCTTGCATTTCATCAAAAGTACACTCACAATGGCGGCATTTGCTATATGCAAAACCAACTCCTTCCTTAAATCCTGCAAGCTCATGCTGGGCAAGAGTGTCTCCACACACAGCAATAACTGCTCCATTTAAATAAAATTCCCCATTCACAGTGTTAATCATAACACCGTCATACAGCAACTTCAAGTCCTCATCAATTCTCTGCAGTATAATGTCTACCCCACACTCATCTATGTCTTTAGACTTTGCGATTCCAATAAGTCTGATTGAAGCCAGCTTTGATCTAAACTTAGGGTCGATGTTGCCTAATGTGTAATAAAACATTAATAATTTATTTACACCTGCACGTGACCCTAGGGGGTTACAAATTTCTATCTCATCAGAATACAATATAAGTTGTAAAGCAGAGTTTTTCTTAGAAAACAGTGGGTGGGTTTTGAAAATAATTCCATCATTAATGTCATACAAAAAATTGGCCTTGGAGCAACTTTGAGGTGCAGCACTGAACATGTCAAATAGTCTTGAATTGGATAGTAGCTGTTTCAAACTTTCAATCAGAGGGATGTAGTAGAAAGACTTGTTTTTGATTGCAAGAACTCTAGATTCTCCCTTTTTAACTCTACAGGCATACTTGGAAATGATGATCTCCTCAGGTGAAACCGGGTTAAAATGCATCTGTGTTGCTGGGTCCTGTAGGTTAATAGCTGCACATAGAGGAAAGGGGTCCTGAAAGTTGTCCAGTGTTGAAAGAACTTCTGCTTGTAAAGGTCCAGTGCTGTCAGGATGCCTTTGTAGGATGGTCTTCATTTCTTCTCTCAAGGACGCCAGAAGAGCCGTTTGATACTGTTGAACACCAAGGACAATGTTGTTCACACTCGTCTGATGGAAAAAAAAATAACATTAGATAAGTGGAAATGTAAACAATATGAAAAACATAGCAATGCAACTCAATGACTGTCCTCATCTGAAATGTTTCTTTAACATAGAATGTGCTACTACTTCAGCTGTAGAAATAGTTCAGATTCACACAAATAAGCTTCTAAAGAATCATAAAATGAGCAGCCTCAGAAACACTATTAAGTAAATGTGGTGTGTGTGTGTGTTCTTGTCTTCACCATCCCCAGTGAGTCGTGGAGGATGGCTGCTTATACTGAGCCAAGATTCTCTGGAGGTTTCTTCCTGTTAAAAGGGAGTTTTCCTCTCCACTGTCACTAAATGCTTGCTTAGTATGAGGATTGCTGTAAAGACACTGACACTAGTCAGTGACTCAATGCAACCTGCTGGGTTCCTTATATAGGAAACTTTTTACTGAGTGGCATACCTAACTGTTTACTGTGTGAAGTGCCCTGAGACGACTCTTGTCATGATTTGGCGCAATATAAATACAATGCATTGAATTGTTAACTTTTTTTAGTGTTATTTATTTATAGTAAAATAGTTATGAAAAAACTTATTAAGGTTAAAATATCTTTTCACTCCAGTGAACTACACTTTAAAATTATCCCCTTTTTTTCCAAATGAACAATGACACAAAAATAGGGGGTATTATTAGATGAGGCAGTACCTGTGATAGGTGGCATTGCTCCCGCACACCAATAGCAAATGCAGCTGCACGTCTGGCGAGAGCAACAGGTTCTCTTACGCCCTACAGGACCAAAGAAAGACAAGTGTGTAAGAAAAGTAACACCCTGAATGTGTTTCCAATTCTATCAGTAACTAAACAAAGCAAAACAAATATTACAACAGTTGGTTGTATTTATTTGCAATTACAAAATTAATACGATGAGGCATATCTATTCAAGCTGCACATTTTGTAAACAATTTAGGAATTATTTAATAAATTTAAGCAATCTTTATGGAATCGACTCCGGAGTTAAGTGAACCCGCTTGTTGAAAGCTGCTGGTTCACTGTTAAGTCAGTTACACCAATTATACACCAGTAAATAAGGAGAAGTTTAAATCGGTTTAAAATATTGTAACTCAGCCTACAATATTTTACAAATATGAACTTCAGTAGACACAATTTGAAAAAAAAAAAAGCTGACAACACAACAAATAAGTCAAATAAATAAATATGGAGGAACCATAACAGCATCAGTAAACATCATGTCTGAGCTCTGTGTGTAATATTCATATTCATAGTGATGTTCACTTTGACGCCTAAGTTCGCCTAAAATATTTTAATATAAATAAATGTGTATTTCTGTGTCTGTTTTTGTGTATTACGATGTACATTGATTTTACTTCAGTATGCCTGTAAGAAATTGACAGAAAAGTGACAACAAACAAGTGATGAGGTAAAGGATAAACCATCTGAAACAAGCTTCAGTGTTAGAAAGCTTCATTTGGAAGATATTCATAAATCACACACACAAAGTACATTACCTGATTCTGACGTGGTGTTTGAACATCCGATTGGTCTTTGTCCATCAAATTCCGACTTTCCTGTCGCTCCTGCTCCAACACAACCGAGGTTTGTGGGAAATCTGGTGTTTCTGCTTCAATTGGTCTTGTTTCGGTAGTACAGTCGGCAAAAATAGCTGTACCAAAATGTTCACTTCCTAACAGATTTGCATCGAATGAAGCTGAGAGACAACCTGTGGGAGGGTTCCCAGCGGCGAAATATTGTGAATGTGTCCGTCTGAGATGGTAGTAGAAAGAGTTGAAAACGCGGTATTCCTCAGCGCATCCATCGACTCCACAAATGACACGGAAATCCGGACTGCGACTGTGTGCAGTATTAATGTGACTTAAAAGTGACTTCAGCGTTAATGCAACAAAAACAAAGCAAATAACGCACCTCCAGCAGGCCATTGTATAACTACAAAGTCACGCATAAAATGTTGGTTTATAGTCAAGTTCAAAAGCTACTCTTTAGCTACTTCACCTTTGAGCCGGAAGTGGAACTTCTACCGCGCTAGTTTGGAACATACCAACTTGATGGGGTTTTTATCCTAACTATGTAACAAAATAAAACTGCCCCAAAAAAGACACTGAAATGAAATCCATAAGACAAGTTATTTAATAGAATAAGAGATTTAAATATACTAACTTTTATCATGAATGTACAAATTACTAAAATTTATGTAGAAGCAAAAATTTAGATTTTCACCCCCTTCTTGTTCCGTGTTAGTTGTTACCCAACTCCATTTTATTTGCATGCGGGCGATGTTCGTTACAGTGGCAAGAAAAAACTGTATGAGAACAAACACTTCATGAATAGAGAGAGGTAAGCAATTTTAAAATGTGATATATAAGCAAGAGAGAGTTAAGCAATTTTAAAATGTTATATATAAGCAGTGTTCAGCCTAATTGTTGTTTTCAACTCAAGCGGACAGAATAGATTTTTATTTGGGCGGGAATGTCTAACGGAGCATGCTAACAAATGCTAGCGTTAGCTTAGCATCCCTGGCACGAGTTTTAGAGAACGATTATTAAATAAATTAGCAAGTCTCCTTTTCCCATTTTACAGCTAAACAGCGGAGCATGTCTGCTGGACATTCATCTTAATCATCCTCCTGAAAAAATCTTTTGTTATTATTTTTATATTAATTAGATTTATTAAAGTGGGCTCAATAGTTTTATTCAGGAATCAAAAAATTTAATCAAATGACAAAATATATTTGTTTTGCAGGTGATTGAGCTATGGAGAAGCTGGATCACGTAACAGTATCTATCCTTACAGGTTAGATTTCATATTACATGTATGTGTGTGTGTGTGTGTGTGTGTGTGTGTTTAACTGGCATTTGTCTTTTTGTTAGCTGCATGCATTGACGAGCCCATGCTCTTAACTTTGAGCCGCGAGGATCTGAGGGACCTGTTTCCTGGGCCTGAACACTTTCTCACTAGAAAGCGTGTGTGGTCAGTAATTCACCCTGAGGTATTGTGTAAAACTATTTATTTCAGCAAATCTCTAGAAAGTGTGCTTTTATTTTTGCATTACTTGAAACTTTTCTTTTCTCACCTTATACCAGGAAGACCGTCCTGTAACACAGACCCCTGAAACATATTCTTCACCCAGGGTAGTTCCAACAGCCAGGCCTCAAAGTCCTGATGCTAAAAAAAGCCAGCAGAAGACCTTGCAGCTCCCCAGTCCTCCGGAATATGTAGTGTACACAGACAGTGAGTTGGAGCAATGCAGAAAGAGTTACTATGATTTGGCCCATGTTAGCCGGGAACATGAATGTGTCATGTCCAAAGAACTGAGATGCAGACTAGTGAGAAATACAATCACAAGTATGGTGTCCCTTTTGAGAGCAAGCGAAGGCCAAATGGAGCGATACCCCTCTAAGAACGAAATCACTGCAATGGCCAAAATAATCGTGGAATATTATCCTATGCTAAAGGATAATGATGCAAGCGTGAAACACGTAAGTTCGTCTATTTGTCTCCTCCATGAATCATTTTGTTTTGTTTAGTAAGCATGAAATATATGCATTTGTCACCAGGAGAGCATCAACGCAAAGTTACTAAAAAGGCTGCAAAATATTAAAACTCCTGTAAAAAAGCAACGGCCAACACCAGACAGGGGCCGGCCAAAGAGAAGACTCACTGACCTCTCTCCAACTGATAAAGAAGCTGATGATGAAGATGTTGATTGCAGTTCTTCCAGTGGTGCATCTAATCTGCTGTTATCACCTGCAAGCAGTTCTGATGCTTCCACTTCATGTGAGTACATACATGTAATTTTTTAAAATGTTTATCGACACACAAGCCATATAGCCAATGTTATGTATAAGTCTATAAAATGCTCTTGTACTTCTCCCCATTTTAGCTGGCAGGGTTAGTCCGCAAATACAAGCAAGACTTTACAGAACATTACAAGAAATGTGCAAGAAGCCGAAACCAAACCAAGAAGATGTGTCCCAGTTATTAGACCTCGAGTTTGACTCCAGAAGAGCCTTCATTGACTCAGACTCCTTGAAAGAGGAGAACAGAGCTTCCCACATCTTGGATGCATATCCATGCTTTAAAGAACTGCATCATGTACGCTATTGGGAGAGTTCATAATTGGAATCAAATTAGAAATGTATTTTCTCTGTTATTTGAGTTTTTTTATTTTTTATCTGTGTTTAATATTGTAGGTGTTGGGTGAGCTGCGCAGAATTTTGGATCCACACAACAACAAGTTCATCAGTCAAATCAAACAAAGATGGCAAGAATTTTGCTCCAGGGTGGAATTCTATGGTGTGTCAAAGAAGGCAATGAATCCACCAATGACTATGGACAAAAGTAAGCATAAAAATTTGAATACAAAGTTCTCATCCTTTTAAATGTAAGTTTATGCAGGTTTGTTTTTGCTGTGTACAGCTGAAGCCCATCTTGCATTGATGAAGGCTCTTCCAACACTCTTTCCCTCACCTGCCCATCCACCCAAAAAGATGGGGACTGCTTCTGATGCATTTCTACATGTCCTGAAGGTTTGTTTTGTGTAATTTGCTTTATAAAGATATACTACAGACTCACTACAACAAAATGAAGGAGGGGTAATGCTAAATCAAGTTTTTATAGCATTGTTTTCTAAAATAAAACATCCATGGAGTAGTTTAAAGTCACTCATGCATGTGACTCTTTCACCGGGACTATTCTTTAGGTAGCTTTTTTTCAAGCTCTTCCATTTTTTTTCCTCAATGTTTCTCCTGCTGTTCGAAGTGACCAGAAAAACATTATAAGTGTTGCCTGCTATTTCTAGGGACTTATGGCCAGACACAGATAAACCATGAGTTAAAACACAAAAAGTGTGTAATCAACAAAGAAAAGGGTTAAATGTTTTTGAGGTTATGACTAAAAATGTGTGCCATGTCTGTCTTGCAGCCTACAGAAGATCCAGATGCAGTCCTCCAGAAACGAAGCTTGTCATGTCCAGTGGTGATGTTCGATGGATGCAAGTGTGTTATTGCTGTTGGGAATTTGCCAGTTACAACATTTGACAAAGAAAAACTTGGTGAGGCTATGATTTATGTGATGGCATACTTTTATACACTCCATCTGACTTATCCCAAATGCGTGGCAACCCTACTGTCTGTCATTCAGACAGAAGTTCTCCAGGATGCTATTCATGAGCGTGACACTACATCATATTACAAAAAAGCCCTGGCCGAATGGTACGCATTTATTGGAAAGTAGTTGTACATTTAGTGAGATTATGGGGTACAGTTACTGATGGAACTGTAATTTAAAGAGCTGCACAGACCAGAGATCCCCCCTTTTCTTTCACTTAGTTACATTCAATGTATTTTATATTCATTATTGTGCCTTTTACTATAACATTCCAGGTTCAGTCGGTCAGACAATAGGATTATGTTGAAATCCTCATGTTTAATCCACCATCATCTATGGCCTGCAGATGGTTACTGAAATATCTCATGTCTCTGACCAAATGAACCTTGAAAGTTATACTAAAAACCTGTTGATTTATGCTTGTGATATTGTTCATGTTGTTTCTATTATAACATTGGTTTTGGTTTTATGTTGAGGACAACACAGAACTCTTCATCATGTTCTCTCATAAAAGTGCAGCATTTTTGTTCATGTTTGCATATTTCAGTAATTCTCTACACTACATTTAGTTTGATCTCAGTAGAAACAAAAGTTGACATGTTTAAACAGGTTTAACCCTCCCACTGTCCTAATGGGTGTGGCCCCACGAGGAAAGTAGATCATTGAGCAGTGTGGATGGTTTATCCCTTGGGTCCATGTGGCAGGGGTGAGGAGTGAGCACCACCTCACCCCTGCCACATGGACCCAAGGGATAAACCATCCACACTGCTCAATGATCTACTTCCTTGTGGGGCCACACCCATTAGGACAGTGGGAGGGTTATAAGGAAATTGTCAGACCTGTACAAGGCACATTTTCATTTGCATACCTGTGTGTAATTGTTAAAGTGGAGAAATAAAAGTTTGACACTTGCTCCGTTTCAGTTTTATTATATTTAGTCCATAATGAGAAATATAATCTTATAGCTCTACTTTTAGGATTTATTTGCTAAATTTAAGGGTAAAAAGCAGGAAAAAATTATTAAATTTACTAGTTTTTAGATTATTTGCCTTATTTGTTCCTTAGAGTAAGTGTTTTATGCTTATTTGCAGATTTAACTTCCACAGTTTTTTGCTTAGAACAACTGGTAACAGCTTATTTTAAGATTCTATTGTAATTTTCATTGCCTGAAATAGGCATGTAAGGCTTATTTCAAGATTTAATTGTCTTGTGTGTTGCCTAGAATAAGTGTAAAACACTTACTTTTAGCTTTGTTTAAGTCTAGATATTATTCTTATTTCAAGAAATCTTACTAAGAAAAATTCACTCACTGCACTGGCAGATAATTTAACTTGTTTTTAGTTATTATTGACTTTAAAAAAGTGTATTTGTCTAGTATTAAGCAGGTTGGTTTTTGCAGTGTGTAAATGGCTTCTTTCACTCCTCTTTCAAACCATCTGTCCTCTCTGTCCAAACTGTGAATATTGTCATCCTGGAGTGACCTTTGTCCTTTTGATGCAGATGAACTGCTGAGTGCTGTCCCGTGGAGGTGGCTCTTCTATGTTGTTCCTATGTTGTGCTACTTCATTTTCTATTAAGACAAGAAGCCCAAATTGGAGACTCCATTTCGGACTTCTTTTGCATGTAGTTGAAAGTAACCCAAATTGAATGCTTCATTAATTGAAGAATTACGTTTGGGCTACTTTTGCATGTATGGAAAAGTAGCCCAAAATGAATGGCTCATTTTAGACTATTTTTGAATGTTGTAACAGTAGCCCAAAATGAATTCCTTTTGGGCTACTTTTACTACATTCAAAAGTAGCCCAAAATGAATGCTTTATTAATTGAAGAATTCAGTTTGGGTTACTTTAGAAGAAGACCCAAATTGGAGGCCTCCATTTTGGGTTACTTTTGAAGAAGCCCCAAAATGGAGGCCTCCATTTCCTCCATTTCGGGTTACTTTAGAAGAAAACCCAAATTGGAGGCCTCCATTTTGGGTTACTTTTGAAGAAGCCCCAAAATGGAGGCCTCCATTTCCTCCATTTTGGGTTACTTTAGAAGAAGACCCAAATTGGAGGCCTCCATTTTGGGTTACTTTTGAAGAAGCCCAAAAATGGAGGCCTCCATTTCCTCCATTTTGCGTTACTTTAGAAGAAGACCCAAATTGGAGGCCTCCATTTTGGGTTACTTTTGAAGAAGCCCCAAAATGGAGGCCTCCATTTCCACCATTTTGGGTTACTTTAGAAGAAGACCCAAATTGGAGGCCTCCATTTTGGGTTACTTTTGAAGAAGCCCCAAAATGGAGGCCTCCATTTCCTCCATTTTGGGTTACTTTAGAAGAAGACCCAAATTGGAGGCCTCCATTTTGGGTTACTTTTGAAGAAGCCCCAAAATGGAGGCCTCCATTTCCTCCATTTTGGGTTACTTTAGAAGAAGACCCAAATTGGAGGCCTCCATTTTGGGTTACTTTTGAAGAAGCCCCAAAATGGAGGCCTCCATTTCCTCCATTTTGGGTTACTTTAGAAGAAGCACCAAAATGGAGGCCTACATTTCGGGCTTCTTTTGCATGTAGTTGAAAGTAACCCAAATTGAAGGCTTCCTTAATTGAAAAATTCAGTTTGGGTTACTTTAGAAGAAGACCCAAATTGGAGGCCTCCATTTTGGGTTACTTTTGAAGAAGCACCAAAATTGTGTCTCCATTTCGGGTCTGGTGACCTTTGTGACTTCATTTGACCCTGTTAGGGTAACGTTCAGATCACTTACAACTCCATAGACTATACGTTCATGTGATGTTTCAGCCTTATTGGACCTTGTTTTCGCACAAATGGACCCAGAAATATGTGAAATTGTGCTTTGTGCAACATAATTCTGGGTGCCATTTAAAGACCATAAGTGCTTATGACTCCATTCCTTTTTGTGGTAGTAGGGGCTGTTTATTGGAGCATTTTAAAACCAACATGACCTCTCTAGGATATTCAGAAGCCAAGTTATAAGCCCACAAAGGTGTGTTACGAACCACACCTTTAAAGAAGAAGTGATCCAATGACATTTGTGACAACATTTGACCCCCTAAGGAATGTGCTATCATCATGAAACACATGATTCATTTACATCTCAATAGATTGTACCTTCCTGTGATGTTTCAGCCTGATTGAAGTTTTTTTCAGAGAACTGGACCCATAATAATGTGAACTTGTCTTGGTGCAACATAGGTCTGGGTGCCATTTAAAAACTGTACATCCTATCCACTCCATTCATTCTGTTCTAGATACAGACCATTCATTGGAGTATTTTAAAACCAGCCTGACCTCTCTAGGATATTCAGAAGCCAAGTTATAAGCCCACAAAGGTGTAACCAGACACCTGACTATCTCTGCTTGGACAAGCGTCCCGTAAGGGCGCTCGAAAAGGTCAGACGGCATCGATTTCGACGTGCGTCGATGAGATGGTAGCCGGGATGCACCACCCCAAATTTCGTGCGGCTACGCCAAACCGAATTCAAACGGCGGCCCAAAAGTGGGAAAATTTAGCTCAGGCTTCATTTGCGGCCTTCTGCCACTTGAGCCCCTTTTTGGCCGCCGTTCAGCCCACGTTGGTCCGAGGCGCACGAAAATTTTTTTGGTGCATCCCAGCACTGGTCCGAACCACAGATTTCGAAATCGTGCCGGTCGCATCGTGTTAAGCGTCCGTTTGGGGCCTGAGGGCAGTTTTCCCTCCATTTTTCCATGTGCTCGGCAAATTGGCATTTCTCAACCGATTTTCACCAAACAAACATCGATTTGGCATGCCGCCGTCACCCCGATCTAGCCCAGGCAGTTTGGTAGCCGTAGCTCGTTGTTCCGGTGCTGTTCTGGGTCAGAGGTCAGAGAAAATTATGGATTTGGGCTGTTTTGGGGCTGAAAAACAGGGTTCTCCTCAACCTAGAGACTTGAAACTGATAATGTTTCTTTAAATAGCTGACAGCTACAACATATGCAGTTTTCAAGTTGCTGGCTTATTCAGAAGGGTCAAGGTTCACAGCCTCTTGGTACAAGCAGAGAAAATGATGGATTTGGGCTGTTTTGGAGCTGAAAAACAGGGTTCTGCTCAACCTAGAGAGTAGACACTTGCACATTTCCTTTAGATAGCTGACAGCTACCACATATGTCGAGCTCGTGCCGGTCGCAACGTGCTAAGCGTCCGTTTGGGGCCTGAGGGCAGTTTTCCCTCCATTTTGCCATGTGCTCGGCAAAGTGGCGTTTCTCAACCGATTTTCACCAAAACAAACGTTGATTTGGCATGCCGCCGTCACCCCGAGCTAGCCCAGGCAGTTTGGTTGCCGTAGCTCTTTGTTTCGGTGCTTTTCCGAACCCCAGGTCGCCAGAGGTCACGCTCTTTTTGGCCACAGCTCCTCAAGGGAACGCCCGATCCGTTCCGTTTTTGGAGAGGTGGTCCCCGTGGTGCCAAGCAATCATAATCCGCTGTCAAAATTGAAAAAAAAAAAAAATTGTGTCTGAGTTTGGCCAAAAAAATGCCCTCTTAGACCCATCGCCTCAAAGAGGACTTGTGTTTTCCTGGTAGAAAGTGGAAAGAAAAAGTTCTGCTGGCGCCAGCGATGCCATCTTCGGATATGTTGTTCGGGGGCCAAGCACGAGTCCATCCGAGGTGGTTTGGTGGCAAAATATTTTGTGGTTCCAGAGATATAGCCCCCAGAAGTGCGCGATTTTTGCAAGTTTACAATGGGCAATTCTAGCGCCGTGAGGGCTATCAAAAAGACGAGTAGATTTTTGCGCTCGTACCGGACTTCCGAACCAGAGAGTGTAAACAATTTTCGACTGCGCCCCCTAGTGACCGAACTTGGTCAGTGAGCGACGTAGCGTGACGCAACTGAAATATTATGATTCGGCATGTCCTTCTTTACAACATATGTGAATTTCATGTCCCTACGTGGAATTTAACTATTTTTAATGAATTAAAAGAGACCGGCAAAACCCTAGGCCCGAAACCACGATTTTTAGACCCTTTTTGGCTGCCGTTCGGCCATCGTTGATCCGAGGCGCCCGAAAACTCTTCTGGTGCATCCCAGCACTGGCCCGAAACACATACGTCGAGTTCGTGCCGGTCGCATCGTGTTAAGCGTCCGTTTGGGGCCGTACGGCACTTTTCCCGCCTTTTCTGCCATGTGCTTGGCAAAGTGGCATTTCTCAACCGATTTTCACCAAACAAACGTCGATTTGGCATGCCGCCATCACCCAGAGCTAGCTCAGGCAGTTTGGTAGCCGTAGCTCGTTGTTCTGGTGCTGTTCTGGGTCAGAGGTCAGAAAAAAGATGGATTTCAGCTAAAAACGGGGTTCTCTTCAACCTCCAGACTTGACACTGATACTGTGTGCTCCTTGACCTCACAGGTCCATCATGTGTTAATTTCAGACAGATTGGAGCTTGTATCACAGGTTTTTCAACCAGAAATATGTGAAATTGTGCTTGGTGCGACATATTTCTGGGTGCCATTTAAAAACCATAAGTGCTGACGACTCCATTCCTTCTGCTGGTGATAGGGGCTGTTAATTGGAGTCATTTAAACCCAACCTGACCTCTCTAGGACATTCAGAAGCCAAGTTCTGAGCCTCCAAAGGTGTATCCGGACATTTGTCTGTAAGGCAGAA